TTGAATTGAATCATATAATTTGATTTGAAATACAGGTCTATTATTGAATGGAATCACATAATTTAATAGGAATACAGGGCTATGATTGAAGTGAATCACATAATTTAATAGGAATACAGGTCTATGTTTGAAGTGAATCATATAATTTGATTTAAAATACAGGTCTATTATTGAATGAAATCACATAATTTAATAGGAATACAGCGCTATGATAGAATTTAATCATATAATTTGATTTGAAATACAGGTCTATGATTGAATGTAATCATACAATTTAATAGAAATACAGGTCTATGATTGAATTGAATCATATAATTTGATTTGAAATACAGGTCTATTATTGAATGGAATCACATAATTTAATAGGCATACAGGGCTATGATTGAATTTAATCATATAATTTGATTTGAAATATAGGTCTATGTTTGAAGTGAATCACATAATTTAATATGAATACATGTCTATGATTGAATTGAATCATATAATTTGATTTGAAATACAGGTATATTATTGAATCACATAATTTAATAGGAATACAGGGCTATGATTGAATTGAATCATATAATTTGATTTGGAATACAGGTCCATGGTTGAATTGAATCATATAATTTGATTTGAAATACAGGTCTATTATTGAATTGAATCACATAATTTAATAGGAATACAGGGCTATGATTGAATTGAATCATATAATTTGATTTGGAATACAGGTCTATGGTTGAATTGAATCATATAATTTGATTTGAAATACAGGTATATTATTGAATGGAATCACATAATTTAATAGGAATACAGGGTTATTATTGAATTGAATCATATAATTTGCTTTTAAATGCAGGTCTATGATTGAATTTAATCATACAATTTAATAGAAATACAGGTCTATGATTGAATTGAATAATATAATAGAAATACAGGTCTATGATTGAATTGAATCATATAATTTGATTTGAAATATAGGTCTATTATTGAATTTAATCATACAATTTAATAGAAATACAGGTCTATGATTGAATTGAATAATATAATTTAATCGAAATACAGGTCTATGATTGAATTGAATCATATAATTTAATCGAAATACAGGTCTATGATTGAATTGAATCATATAATTTAATCGAAATACAGGTCTATGATTGAATTGAATCATATAATTTGATTTGAAATACAGGTCTATGATTGAATAGAATCATATAATTTAATCGAAATACAGGTCTATGAGTGAATTGAATCATATAATTTAATAGGAATACAGGGCTATGTTTGAATTTAATCATATAATTTGATTTGAAATACAGGTCAATGATTGAATGGAATCACATAATTTAATAGAAATACAGGTCTATGATTGAATTGAATCATATAATTTGATTTGAAATATAGGTCTATGTTTGAAGTGAATCACATAATTTAATAGGAATACACGTCTATGATTGAATTGAATCATATAATTTGAAATACAGGTCTATTATTGAATTGAATCACATAATTTAATAGGAATACAGGGCTATGATTGAATTGAATCATATAATTTGATTTGAAATACAGGTCTATGATTCAATTCAATCATATAATTTAATCGAAATACAGGTCTATGATTGAATTGAATCATATAATTTGATTTGGAATACAGGTCTATGGTTGAATTGAATCATATAATTTGATTTGGAATACAGGTCTATGGT